AATTCTTTACTTGAGGGCAGCACCAGGTAGCAAACTGTATGCCTTAGATAAAATTGAATTAACTATAAGACGATTCTGCTTGTTTAAAAAAGGAACATGTATATAAAAATAAAAAATTTAAAATATCTATATGTGGGTGAGAGTTACATTATGGATGATTTATTTATACACAAAAACCATATTGGCTTCTTTTATAAAATAATTTAAATTTTTTTCAGTGGTTGATAAAACTCAAATGCCTTTAGGGGCCAGACAAATAATAGGCTACAATAGTAACAAGAGAGATAAAATCATAAAGAACAAACATTAAGAAAATAGTATATATGAAGATTTCAATGATAAATTATCAGTCTATGAAAATAAGGACTGCAAACAAATCTTGATCTCTTAGAAAATTTGTTTTCTATAATGCTATATGTACAGTAATAAAAATTATCGTTAATGTTGTTGTTAAATTGAGCAACTTAAAAGAGGGATAAAAACAAGGAAAAACATTGTAAATGAGAACTACAAATTGTTACTGAAAGAAATTAAGAAGTTCGTAAATAAATGGAAATACCTCCCATGTTCATGGGTTAGAAGACTTAATCTCATTAAGATGTCAATACTACCAAAGCAATCGAGAGATTCAGTGCAATCCCTATCAAAATATCAATAATGTTTCTGCAGAAACAGAAAAATGTAGCCTAAAATTCATATGAAATCACAAGGGACCTTGAATAGCCAAAACAATCTTGAAAAAGAAGAAAAAAGTGAGAGGACTCATACTTCCTGATTTTGAAACATATTACAAGTCTACAGTAATCAAAATAGTGTGATAGTAGCATAAAGAGAGATATATAGATGGAACAAAATATAGAACCCAGAAATAAACACTCCTATATATGATCAAATGATTTTTCACAAGGGTGCCAAGACCATTCAATGGGGAAAGGACAGTCTTTTCATAAATGGTACTGGGAAAACTGGGCATTCACATGCAAAAGAATGAAGTTGCACCTTTAACTGACATCACATACAAAAATTAATTCAAAATGGATCAAATACATAAAGGTAAGATCTAAAACTATAACACTCTTAGATGAAAACATGGGGGAAATCGTCACAACATTGGATTTGGCAATAGTTTCTATGAAATCAATAGCGTATGTAACAAAGAAAAATTAGACAAGTTGGACTTTATGAAAATTTTAAAAATTGTGCATCAAAAGACAATATCAACAGAGTAAAAAAGCAACCCACAATGGGAAAAAATTCAAATTACATATCTGATATGGGATTAATATTCAGAATATAGAGAGGACTCCAAAACTCAACAAGAAAAAATAAACATCCCAATTCAAAAATAAGCAAAGGGCTTGAACAGACATTTCTCCATAGAAATGTACAAATGGCCAATAAGCACATGAAAACACGCTCAGCATCACTAGTCATTAGGGAACAGCAAATCAAAACTATGATAGGATACCACATTATATCCATTAGAACGGCTACAGTTAAAAAAAGAAAATAACAAATGTTGGCAAGAATGTAGAGAAAATGGAATGTTTGTGCGTTGTTGATGGGAATGTAAAGTGGTACAGTCCTTCTGAAAAACAATATGCTTGCACCTGTAATCCCAGAGTTTTGGGGGCCGAGGTAGGAGAATCACTTGAGTCCAGGAGTTCAAGACTAGCCTGAACTGAACTGTATACTTATAAGTAAGTGGTCAAGATGGTAAATTTTATGTTATATGTATTTTATGATAATTTTTTAAATGGGGAAAAAGGAAAATTTTAAAAACAAACCTTTGAATAAAAATTAATCCATAAGTTCATATTGATAAGAAAGAAAGAGAGGGACAGTGAGGAAAGGAGGGAGGGACAAAGGAAAGAAGGAGGGAAGAAAGAAAGGAAGGAAAGGAGAGAGTAAGGGAGGGAGGGGTGAGAGGGAGGAAGGAAAGAAAGGTGGAAAGAAAGAAGAAAGAAAGTTAATTTCTTTCTTACAGTATGGTGCTGATTAATACAGAGACAGAATAATGAACTTAGAAAATAATCCATTTACATCCATCATCAGAAAAATGATTTAGGCAAGAATCATTGGTGGATGCTAAATCAAGGAGGGGAAAGGCATTGAACAAGAAGCAGGATGTCTACAGTCTCAAAGCATCTCTCACTAATTATTTAATAATGACAGAGGGAAAATAGTAACAATACAGTGGAGAAAATAGGCAAAACCTTCACCAAGTGATCAAAATTAACACCACCAAGGAAAGGCAGATGGGCATCTTATGCTGCCAGATACGGTTCTCTGAGAAAGACACAACATCTGTTATGGAGTATTCTAGCCAAGAATGCATAACCTAATTCTGATTATGAGGAAACATTTGAAAAACCCAAACTAAATGACATTCTATAAAATAACTGGCCTGCATGCTTCAGATATGTCATCGATATAGCAAACAAACAAAAACCAAAGTAAGGCTGAGGGTATGGTTCGGATTGAAGAAACTAAACAGTCATGGCAACTAAATGCAAAATACGTTCTTGGACTAGATTATGTATTGGTGGAAATTGCTTTAAGAAATATTATTTGAACTAGGGGATGAAAGTAGAATACGGAAAATAGATAAGATAAATGTATCAATGTTAAATTCTCTAAATGTAAGTATTGTATTGAAGTTATGAATTATAATTGTTCTTGAAAATATGTAAAGACTGAAATATTAAGAAATAAGGGGCAATAATGTATGCAATCTACTGTCAAATTTTAAAGAACTGTGTGTGTGTATGTGTGTGTGTGTGTACCTGGACAGACAGAGAGAATGACTAAGCAAATGTGACAAAATGTGTAAAAATTGGTGAGTCTAGGTAAAGCATATATAGATGTTCTTATTTCAAATTTTCAAAATTAAAAATTAGATTTCAGAATTTTTTAATTCTAAAAGAAATAATATGGGGTAAATAGACAAAAACAATCCGTAAGTCAAATTCTATCCATGGGCTGCCAGTTTGCAGCCTCAGATTTAAAACATCATTTAACTTCCCTGAAATAGTTAAGGAAATCCTTAAAAAACAAACCAAAAAATGCACCCATTTGCAATGAAACAGAAATCAATGGAAATAAAAAGCTTTTAAGGTTTCCCACCTCAAGGCTGACGTCTGGGTGTGATTTCTTACTAAAAATTAATTTTGAAAGGATAAAGGAGGGAAATTTCCAAACAACACAATATTGTTTTGTAAAACTTTCAAATTCAAGTCAAAGGAGTGAGGTTTGTGAAGGGTCCTGAGAGTCAGATCATCCTCCCACCCATATCCTCTCCTCTTATCATGGCACAGGAGCATTGTTTTATCAGGTGGGTTGGAGAGTAAGAAGTTACACCAGATGACAGTTTTCCAGATAACAAGCTTTCACTTTAAACACTCTTTCTAAAATTTTATTTTTTTCCTAAAATACTTCCTATCATTAGGGTAAACTTTCATATATCTTCTTTCCATCATGCTTCAGCTAACGTTATTTGTGTTTTATTCATCAGTGCCATAACACAGGACTTATGTTCAATTTGCTGGTAGAATCTTGTTAAAAGGCAGGAATATCATTGGTTTAAAAACAAACAAACAAACAAACAAACCCGTGGGCTTCCCATAGAAATACAGATGGATTCTCCAGACCAGGTTCTTCCACCAACACACTAGGAAAGCTTTGGTTAATCATTTAGATTCTTTGGACTCTAGTTCATCTGTAGAAAAATTGAGCTAAATTATATCACCTCTGAGGTGATAGATCTGGAAGGCCAGATCTAGTAAGCATCATCCATTCAGAAGATGATCTGTTTCCATTCTCGAGACTGGACAAGAGGTATGCACTTACAACAACAGTCCTAGGCTTCATGCTTCAGGGTACTTTCATTTCATTAAATTTTTAAATTGACAAATAAAAATTCTATATATTTATGGTGCACTATATATATGCATATATTGCAGAATGGCCAAGTCAAGCTAATTAACATACCTATTACTTAATGTACTTATCAGTTTCTGTGGTGAGAATGTTTGAAATCTACTCTTAGTAAGTTTCAGGTATATAATACGTTGTTATTAACGATAGTCACCATGTTGTATAATAGACTCCTAAACTGAAATTTCTTATCTTTTGCAGTGGTCCCCAAGCTTTTGATTGTACGCTCCAGCCGGAAAAGGTGGCACATGGATCCCCAATATATGCATATTAATTGGCACATGATATTCGTGTAATGTTCCACTAATAGGTAAATTGAGAAAGCACATTTAAAATAGACATTTAAAAAGAAACATACAAAAAATAAATTATAAAGGAGGCCCTAATTCTTTTTTCCAGCACACAATGCATCTCCTTGCCCACTCTACTTTGCATACCACTGTTTGTAGAAAAAAGTCTAAATCCCTTCACATGGCATCTAAAGCCAGTCACATTTTGTCCACAGTTTACCCTCCTAGCTTTCCTTCGCACCACGTCCCTCAAGCACTCTTCACTCTGGCCACCTGGGATGGCTCACCAGCCTCTGAACAAAGCAAGCATTGTCACACCTCCTTGTTTCAGCCCCTGCTTTCCCCTGTTTTTCTGTTGAAGAGGAAGACAAACATCACACAAATGCTATGTAGTCTTTAAGACCTCCAACAAAGTTGCTTCTTTTGTGAAGCCTTCCTCCCATTACAACTTATTGCTCCTCTCTCAGAGTATGACAGGATAACAGTGTGATATAGTTCACCTAGTTAATTTATACAAGTTGTATACACAAATTAATTGAGTCTATGAACTCCTTCATGCATTTTGGTGAGAGAAGATCAAAATTATCTCATTTTTATCTTTGCCTCATTCCCAGAACCTTGTACATGGCAAGGGCTCAATAAAATCTGTTAATTTCTTTAGGGAAGTTGTACCCTAGAGTTGAACTCTTGCTTTCAATCGACCCCATTTCTTGTAAAGCTGTGAAGGCAGCTATCCACAACAATGAAGATTACAAGTAAAACTAGTCCACAGACCTCATGTATCTAGAAGACTTGTTGAAGATAGTGATTATGATGAAATTGTAATTCTTGATTTCTTCTTTTAGCAACATCTTGCGAAGTGGTGTTCAAAGAATGCTATTCCTGTGAGGAATAAAAGTAAATTAAATATATATATAAATATATATATATGTAATATATATAAATATTTATATTTATATATTTATTATATAGAAAATATTTATATTTATATATATTTATTATATAGAACAATATATCTGTAATATATATAAATATATGTGTAATATATATACACACACACACACATATACATACATATAGTTATTCAATAGTTAACTATGCCTGCCTCATTTCATATTTAAATAGATCAACTAATAATAATACATTTCAGGAATAAAATATTACCATGAACCTATTTTTTTCCTAAACATTTTTAGCTTTCCTGATTCATGGTGAATGTGACAGTGTCTATGGCATTGTGAGGCGACCAGATTAACCCAGGCAGTGGGTGGTAAGTCAGCACTTGGAGTTCATGGTTTATGCAAACAACCTCACTGACTTGAATGTGTAAAACCCAAAGAAATCCCAAAATCTTGGAGGTAATAGATGATGTAGCACGACACACACCAGAAAGGAGGCATTGCTTTTGTGGCTATGACTTATGGCCTTCCTATATATAAAAATAACCTGAGCCCTGGAGACTAACATAGTACTTGTTGGTTAACTGGGTACTAATCTAGTGGCAAAAGTAAGGTTTAGCATTCAAACAGTGGAAAGCCTAGACCAGGATTTTTAACCATTTGTCTGCCAAGGACTTCTTTGAGAAGCTAAAGAGAAGAGGCATAAAATCTTTACAAAGATGAGTTATGCTCCTGGGAAAAATTTTATCTCCTGGGATACCAGGCTAACAGGTTCTGGAGTGTTCTTTCTCTCCTGTGGTTTTATGATTTTCATGTGCAATTCATTATTTGTGTGTATTGTGCTCTTTCAAAATCACTATTGGAAAATTGAAAAACTTCTTAGAACTCTGACCATTCAGATAAGGTTCCCAAAAGCATTTTAGAGCAGAGATATTGAAGCCCAAGAATCCAAACTTCCTGGTAGCTTTGGCAAAGCTTTTAAAAATACAAATAATCAGAACATCTTGAATTAAATAAATTCAGGGTGAATTATATAAATTTCAACATACCTGTTTTTTTTTCAGTAAAATGAGGAATGCATAAATAAGGTTTTAATGTGTACTACAATTAGATCTACTTTCTACATGCTAAACCTGGGCCCTCCTAAGTCACCATTTGTCAATAAAAAATCAATCATACAGATCCTAGTTATATGGCCCAAATTGAATCCTTGAACTCTATATATGTTTTATTAAACCTAAAGCAATAGAAATATTTTATGAATGATTCTATGTTTCAAGAAACTCTTCTATACAAGAATATACTTACTTATTACTATATTTTCCCTTAAAAAGTAAGTAAAATAAAAATAAATAAAAATGAAATAAAATAAATAAAAAATAAGAAAGAAAAAGTTCAGGACACAAAATCTAGCAAAAGGATTAGATCAGTTCTAAGAATCTGAGGGGACTATTAATAATGAAGAAATATTTTTAAATTTTTGTTATTAGACCTCAAAATAGAATGGCAGATCTACAAACACTTAAACCTATGTAGGGTTCTGATTATTCCTGTTTTCTAAAGTACACACCTTAAATGATTAACTTTTAAGTTATTCATTATATCTTAAAAATTCAGTTGAGCATGTTCTCATAAAGCAAAAGGAACATTTCAGTCTGGTTTCAACAAGGTGTGATTTAGGGAACCTCTCAAAGAATGGTGGGGAGAAAAGGGATTTTAAGATATATAACTGGCTTCTCCTGAACTCCAAATATGGAGAAACTTGACCATCTCATTCAGTGTCTCTGTCCTCTTGTCTCCTTTGTGATATGCTGAAGGCTTTATAAACAGAAGGTTGGAGCGCAGTCAGCCAAGGTTTCAAAGGGGAGGCTACTTCTTACTCTATTTTTGTTAGGACTTTGATCTTATCTCTTTTGCTTATGTCAAATAAAGCTTCTGTTGTCCCAACAGCTACCCCAGTTTAGGAGCTGAGGAGAACAACAACACTATTTTTGCTGGAGAGACCCTGGCTAGAGGGTGGGTGTGGGAACAGGTAGGCTAAACTGCAGAGAGCAGGCTGAGTGAGCCACAGAGTGATGGACAGTCACCCCGTTTCAGAGAACTCCAGGGACCATCAGAATGAAGTCAGATTTCAGTGCAAAACTATATATTTGGCCACTGTTTCCATACAATAAGGTAAAAATTAATCATAGCAAATGGCTGTTTATAAATAAAACCAAATTATTAAAATGGTCTAAATTGTAATGCCTTCTTAGTCATTCAAATTGCCCTGGGTTAGACTTAAAATTGACATGCAGGTTTAGAAATGTAACTCTAGCTATCAGAAGGAAATGATCCTAGTTACGTGATAAGAGATATTCTGTCATCTGTTATTCTTTACAGGGGAAAACTGGTTGATCCAAGGACAAACCTATCTCCATTACTTGGCTGGAATCTCAGAAGTAAACCTATGAGGATTATGTATATTTATGGTCTAATCTGTCATGCCTACATAATAAACATCATGATGTGCCTTTATGATATTCTTCACTCTCTCTTCCTCAATCTTCACATCTACTTGGTCACCAACATTTATTAATTCTACATTAGAAATTATTCTTGAATGAGGTTCCCCTTCCACCATCCCCTGTGTCACTAATGTGGGTCATCTGTCTACAAGCTGCCAAGGTAATCATCCCAATAACCACAGGATAAATACACTCTCTTTGCACGCAGGATAAAACCCAACACCTTGGCAGGGTCTACAGGGCCCTTTGCAGTGTAGCATCAGTTTAACATCATCTAACCTCATTGTCACCAATGCCCCCTCCATTATTTATACACATGGGAAGTCCTCATTGTTCCTCAAACATCCCTCTCAGACCTCCAGCTTCAGAGAGACATTTTTTTGGTCTTTCCTTGGTGAATTCCTAGCAATCTTTCAAGCATAGGTTCGAATGTTATATTCTCTGTAAAGTTTTCTTTGACCCACCCATCTGCCATCCTCACTCCCGCAAGTAGAGTATCTGGGCTTCCTCTTGCTGCAACATTTTGCTCACGTCTCTTTTGGAATACTTAACACATTTTCCCGCCATAGTACAACATAGAGGCCAACTTCAAAGTTGAGTCTGTGACACGTCGTTGTGTGACCTCATTCAAACCACTGTACTTCCCTGTACTTAATTTCCTCCACTGTAAGATGTAAATGAATATGGCTACTAAACAGAGCTGTTGTAACAGTTCAATAATGTATCAACACAGCTCCTGACCATGGTGAAAATTCAGCAAGTAGAACTATAATTATTATTATGAATAATTGTTATGAATTATGTAAGTAAATACCTATGTAAGGCTTATTAAAACTCTGTGAAGGTAAGAACTGTGGGTTTTTAACACAGTCTTTATCGCACATATACATAAATTATGTTTTTGTTCTTTATCTCCTGGATATTTGAATGGATTTTCTGTGTTCCAGTGTAACCCAGATGTAATATCCTTACCAGGTTCTTGTCTCTGGCAAGCATACCTAATCTGAAATGAATTCACCGAAGCTCAGCTAAACCATGATCAAATACAGGCCCTGAAAAGGAATATACTATCCAGCAACTGCAGTGATTGAGTGATGTGCTAAGAATATTTATTCTTAATATTTATAGCTCTTCATTTTAAAAATAGCCCAAAGAATTTTGGGGAAGATGATAACAGTGGGTAGGGTGAGTGTTCAAATGTGCACATATCCAGAATATACATTATCATAGAATCACTTAAATGTTTAAATTGTGTTTGTATTGCTCATTCTTAATAACTCTTTTAGATATCATAAACCTCTCCCAATCACCCAAAGGAATTAAACTAATGCAGCTATTTTGAATACTTGGCTTGAACAGAATTTTAATGATAAATATTCCTTCTGTATTTTATGTTTATATCATATTCAGGCTCCTAAAGAAATATGCCATTTCAGGAACCTTAGTTCCAACTTCCTAACAGTTCTTTGAAAGTGATATTAACTATATAACCAGATGATGACAATTAAAATTACACTGATGAAAGCAGGAAAAAAAACAGCAAGTCTTGCAGTTTTCCATTGATTTCTCTGTTGCGGTAGCATTTTTTGACATGATAAAGCCCTCTTCCTGCATCATCCAGAATTCTCCACAATATTCTTAAATCAAATATATATATTTTTAAATGTTTTATATATATATATATATTTGTATACCTACACACACATGGCTTATCTTGGCTAATCAGCCAATATTTTTCTAAATTCTAGAGCTTACAAGGTCATTGTTGTCAGATTGGGGAGGTATGATAACAACTGATATGTATTAACTGCCCTGTACTATTAAAAGCACTTAGCATATACTCAAGTACTTTACACTTTAATGAAGGTCACAACTATCTATTTTGTTTTCCTCAATAAGTTATATTTCTGGCCTCATACTGCCCAGTTCATTTAATGATTGTTGCCTCTAGCAACAATTTCCACTAGAAATATTTTTAGTAACTGGTGGCATCTATCAATTACATTTCTTAGAATGTAGGGTTTAAATGGACAATAATTCTGTGATTAACTAGAAATGAGTCAGAAGACCCCAATAAGCATTACTGGAAATGAGCACTCCCGGCTGTCTTTGTGTTACATGTGTTACATGGAAGGATACCCTGAGATTCCCATTCACTGGAATCCGCAGTTCCTTGGTCCTGGACCAGGCGCACTGATGTCAGAGGTAGGAGACCTGAGGCATCATCTTCCCTTCACTGCTGACTAGCTTTAAAACCTCTCATCCATGTCTCTTCATATGGACTCGGTTGTCTCAGATATAAATGTAAACTAAAAATGTCTGAAGGACACCATATTAGTCTCGAATATTTTAAGATCTCCGATAATTCTGAAATCTAGGATTTCTTTTATTTATTTGAAATCCAGAAAGTACATACTAGAGTTTTATTCAAAAAAGCAAATTTGGAGATATGTCCTAGATCTAGCACATATATATT